CACCCCCAGAGTCAGCGAACGGAGGCTGCGACTGCGGCGGCGGCGGCGACGGCGACGGCTGCAGTGGCGGCAGGGACGGCGGAGGAGGGGACTGGGGAGGGGACACCTGGGGAGGGGCGGCCGGCGAGGACTGCACCGGAGGGCCACCAGAGTCAGAAGACTCCTCAACCGGGTCCACGGACGGAAGGGGGGTGACATGGGAGACACCAGAGGGGGCGGGACGGGGAGGAGGAGGAGGAGGGGCAGGGACTACCGGGGAAGGGGTGACCAGGAACAGGGGGGGGTAACCGGGGGACCACGGTGGGGGAAGCGGCGGTAGTAGGAGACGGACTCGTCAAAGGTGACGTCACGAGAGTGAAAGAAGCGGTGAGACGGCGGGTGGTAAAAGTGCCAGTCGGACGCGTCAAGGGGAAAACCGAGGAAGACGCAGGGAAGGGTGCGGGCAGTGAGCTTGTCCGTGCCGGAGGCACGGACGTGAGCAAGGCAGCCCCAGACGTGGAACGCAGACGCGTCACCAGGAGACCCAGTCCACAGACGGGTCGGCGAAACCTGCGGCTGCTGAGGGTGCGGCCACAGGTTAAGCTGGTGAGAAGCGTAGCGCACAGCGAACGGCCACAGAAAATGGGGTGCACCGGCATGGACCATGGAGGTGCGAGCGACCTCCATGACCAAGCCGATGCGTCGCTCAGCGACCCCATTCTGCTGTGGGGAGTCCGGTAGGGTGAACGTCTGGGTGATGCCCTCCGCACGACAAAAGCGACCAAGGACACCTGAGGCAAACTCGCCACCACGGTCTGAGTGAAGACGCAAGACAGGGAGACCGCGGTGGACACGCGCAGAGACAAGCCAGGGGATGAGGGCGCCAGGCACGTCGGCCTTGCGCTCCAGGGGAAAGACTGTGGTGTAACGAGTGAAGTCGTCGACAAGCACAAGGAAGTAGCGCTCGCGACGCGGCCCAGGGACGGGGGCGGGGCCCCAGACGTCCAGGTGCAGGGTCTGCAGCGGCGCGGCGGTAGGGGGGAACGAGGAGGAGTGAGGGGCACGGCGAAGCCGACCCTCGACACAAGGCGTGCACAAGGTGGAGCTGGGGAGGAGGGAAACGCGGGGAGTGAACCTGGGAGACCAAGGACAAGACCGTGCTGGGACATGTGACGCAGACGCGGGAGCGCAGGGTGACCTAGGCGGTGGTGCCACAGGAGGGTCGGGTGAGTGAGGGAGCGACAGGAGCAGGCAGCAGCAACCTGGGTAGACACAGCCACCTGAGGGGGCGCTCCAGCCGGGGGGGGCACGGTGTCCAGAGTGAACAGGCCGGACACCGGGTCCCGGGGGAACGTGGACAGGGGGGCACCAGTGGCGGCCTCGGTACAGACAGCATACCGCTCGTGACCAGGGAACGTAGTGGTGACGCCAAGGTCCTGGAGGCAGCCGACACCAACTAGGTTCCTGGAGAACGAGGGGATATGCAGACATGTAAGAGAGCCCGAAGGAACCGCCGGACAGGGAAGGGTGGTGGAACTGCGGGCGACTACCGGGCCGCCGGAGGGGTCAGCAAGAGAAACGGCAGCAGGAACAGGAAGTGGCGTCAGGGTGGTGGAGTCGCGGAAGAAACACCGAGAGGCGCCAGAGTCCAAGGTGAAGGAAAGCGAAGCCGAGGGGTCTGGCGACGGAACGACGGCAGAAGCACCAAGACTACACAAAGCAGGGGATCCTACGCCTGACGCAGCAGGGGAGGCTAAGCTAGGCACACCTACACTAGGCAACAGTGAGTAATAAGTCGGAAGCACACTAGAGTCATCAGCATACATCACATGCAGAGCAGAAACAATGGCATCCATGTCCATATCAAAGATCTGAATCTGACGACTAAGCAAACTGTGCCAGTCCGGGAGGTCTGGCGACGGGCCGAAACGCTGACGAAAGAGGTCGTCCAGGCGACGAAAGCAGCGGGGAGTGGAGTGACCGATCTTACCGCAAACGAAACCGCGGCGAGGACCGGTCTGGATCTGGTACTGACAACGCCCGCCGGCAGAGCCACCACGCGGCACACCACCACGCGCCCGTCCACCGCCAGCGCCGGGCCACCCTGGCGGGAGAACACTCGTCTGCCGCGTCTGCGACGGCTGCTGCGAAGACCGCGACTGTGGCGGCTGCTGCGGCTGCTGCAACTGCAGGGGCGGCGACTCAGCTGGACTGGGCAGGGTCCCCTCGTCCGCTCCAGCACCAGGCGACCCGACCCCACCACTACCCCCGCCCGCACCCCCGCCGCCCCCTCCGCCGCGCCCAGCCTTGGGGCGGCGGCCCTTCCCAGAACGGGCCTGCGCTGCAGCAGCAGTCTCAGCCACTGCGGCAGAGCCGTCGGAGAAGGTACACTGAGCGGGGGCACAACCCTGAAAGATAGGGACCGGCACGACACCGCTCGCCTGGGCGATGGAGCGGTGACGGGTCTCTATCACAGTCAGGGTGTCTACAAAGTCAGTGAGGGTGAGGTCTGCGGGGTGAACACTAAGGAAGCGGTCGCGGGCGACAGCAAGGCGGTCAGGGAGGCGGGTGGCAAGCAGGTAGAGGGTAGAGGTAATGGGCGGCTGGTGGGCTCTAAGCTGTGCGTCAGTGCATGCGGCGCGCCAGGTCTCCTCTATCGAGCGCAGGTGGGCAGCGAGGTCAGAGACAGTGGGGAACGAAGCAAGGTCAGGAAAGAGCAGCGGGAGGATCAGGCGACCCACCGAGGCAGCCGGAGGGGTGGAATAGCGCTTGATGACAGCATCTAAGTATGCCTGAGCAGTAGTGAGGGACCTAAAGCGAGGACGCTCGGACGGGGGGAGGGCGTTGCTAATGGCAAGCTGGGCGACAGCATCGCGAGAAAGCCAGACAGAGCGCGCACGGGCAGTGGCAGCAGTAGACTCACGCTCAGTGGGTGTGGGGTCAGCGGGCAGAATAGCAGGAGGGTCTGGGCAGGGGAGCGTACCGTCAAGGTGTGCGGAAAGCGGTTCACCATCCTGCCGCTGGCCAGTGAGTTGGCGGCGGAGGTCGGCAAGCCACGCCTCGAACTCTAGGGGCTGACCTTCAGCGTCGAAGCGAAGCTCCGCCGCCATCAGGAACAGTCCAGTGCTGTGTAGGGCGGTGCAGCTAGGTGGGGTGCGGTGCAGTGCGATACAGTGCGGTGCAGTGCGGTGCAGTGCGGTACTGTGCGGTGCAGTGCGGTGCAGTGCGGTGCAGTGCGGTGCAGTGCGGTGCAGTGCGGTGCAGTGCGGTGCAGTGCGGTACAGTGCGGTGCAGGGCGGCACGGAGCAGGGCGGGGGGGGGGGGGGGGGGGGGGACCGTACCAGTGAGGAGGACGGGGCCGGGGCTGGCCCGACGGGGCCGGGCGGGCACGACGGGGCCGGGCTGATGCGACAGGGCCGGGACGGGGCGACGGGGCCGAGCGGGCGCGACGGGGCCGGGCTGGGGCGACGGGGCCGGGCGAGTGCGGCAGGGCCGGGCCGGTGCAACGGGGCCGGGCGAGCGGGACGGCGGCCGGGCTGGTGCGACGGGGCCGGGCGGCTGTGACGGGGCCGGGCAGGGTGCGACGGGGCCGGGCGGCTGCGACGGGCCGGGCGGCTGCGACGGGGCCGGGCGAGCGCGACGGGCCGGGCAGGGTGCGACGGCGCCGGGCGGGCGCGACGGGGCCGGGCGGCGGCGACGGCGCCGGGCGGGCGCGACGGGGCCGGGCGGCGGCGACGGCGCCGGGCGGGCGCGACGGGGCCGGGCGGCGGCGACGGGGTCGGGCGGGCGCGACGGCGCCGGGCGGGCACGACGGGGCCGGGCGGCGGCGACGGGTACGACGCGGCCGAGGAGGGGCGCTACGGGGCCCAGGAGGGGCACGACGGGGGGCCCAGGAGAGGCGCTACGAAGCCCAGGAGGGGCGCGACGAGGCCCAGGAGGGGCGCTACGGGGCCTGGGAGGGGCGCGACGGGGCCTGGGAGGGGCGCGACGGGGCCCAGGAGGGGCGCTACAGGGCCCAAGGAGGGCGCGACGGGGCCCAGGAGGGGCGCTACGGGGCCCAGGAGGGGCGCGACGGGGCCCAGGAGGGGCGCTACGGAGCCCAGGAGGGGCGCGAAAGAGCCCAGGAGGGGCGCTACGAGGCCTGGGAGGAGCGCGACGGGGCCCAGGAGGGGCGCTAGGGGCCTGGGAGGAGCGCGACGGGGCCTGGGAGGGGCGCGACGGGGCCTGGGAGGGCGTTACAGGGCCCAGGAGGGGCGCTACGAAGCCCAGGAGGGGCGCGACGAGGCCCAGGAGGGGCGCTACGGGGCCCAGGAGGGGCGCGACGGGGCGCTACGGGGCCTGGGAGGAGCGCGACGGGGCCCAGGAGGGCGCTAGAGGGACTGGGAGGGGCGCGACGGGGCCTGGGAGGGGCGCGACGGGGCCTGGGAGGGCGGTACAAGGCCCAGGAGGGGCGCTACGAAGCCCAGGAGGGGCGCGACGAGGCCCAGGAGGGGCGCTACGGGGCCCAGGAGGGGCGCGACGGGGCGCTACGGGACCTGGGAGGAGCGCGACGGGGCCCAGGAGGGGCGCTAGTGGGCCTGGGAGGAGCGCGACGGGGCCTGGGAGGGGTGCGACGGGGCCTGGCAGGGGCGCTACGAAGCCCAGGAGGGGCGCTACGGGGCCTGGGAGGAGCGCGATGGGGCCCAGGAGGGGCGCTAGGGGGCCTGGGAGGAGCGCGACGGGGCCTGGGAGGAGTGCGACGGGGCCCAGGAGGGGCGCTAGGGGGCATGAGCGGAAGCGGTAGGTGGGGGGGGGGGATCCTACCTACGCGTGATACCATAACAGAATAATTGAATAATGGTAAAGTGAGAGTACACACAAATATATCTAAGTTTTGTATCCTCTAAGAGGTGACTCTATACAGTCTATACAAACATGACAAATACACATGTTTGACACGAGCCTGGTCTTCCGAAAGTCAGGGCTGCAGTCGAGTTCGAACGAAGTACAAAACAGTGTCTGTGCATCGTCCATCCTCTTTGATACCAAAGAATAGTGTATTGTACAGGAGAGTCACCAATGGGATTTGCTGTCTTTAACACACAGAGTTCCAACAGAGTTCCATTATACTGCGTGCAGTGAACTTGGAAAGCGCCCAGGAGTGAAGAGAGGCACGTTACCCCACTCTACACCCACGAAACTGCAACTTTCAAACTCAATGCATTTGAAAGCTGCCGCCCCTAATTTGGGATGCGGGTTTGAACTCACCAGACCCTAAATCCCAAGACAAAACTTGTCAACAAGGACAAGATGCATCCCAAGCAGCGGAATAGGTCTTTGGTCTCCCAAGATAGTCCTCATCACAGCTCTCTGTACCGCGCCAATCAATTTAGGGGTGTGGGTTGACAGGCATGACAATGGTAGCAGTGACCATCCCTTGTCAATGCGAGCCGGGCAAGTGGTGGTGCACATTCGACAAGAACCGCCGGACAGATCGAATACAAAATACGCGTTTCCACATGTGAGTAAGCCTTCCCTCCTGCTCCTGCTGTCGCTGTTGTTGCCGCTGGTGTTGCTGCTGCTGCTGTTGCGGCTGCTGCTGCTGGCGTGATGGAGAAAAGAAAGCCAGAAGACCAGACCTCCTCCTCACAGTATCTTGGTCATCACTCCTCTCAGCAGCACTTCCTGCAACCACTCTGCCCCTTCCCCACTCCCTGCCCACCCCATGAATTTCAACCCGCAGGCAGCTCTTGGGCAGCTGCGGAAAGCATCCGGGCAGCTGACGCCGGAAAAATCTGCCCGGAGAAGCCGAGGGAGAGGGGGAGGGGGTGCGGAGGCTGGGAAGGCCAATAAGCGAGATGGAAGTGAGGGAGGTAAGGTGATCCATATTGGGTGGGAGAGAGGTGAGTTTGCAGCACCAAGCTATCTTGAGAGAGGAGAGGGTTGAGAGGAGGGAGAGGGACGAAGGGAGCGAGACCAGAGACCTGCAGCTGCGAATCTCGAGGTACGATAGTTTCGGCAGCTGCCCGAGAGTTTCGGGCAGGGAGTGGAGGTTTGGGCATGAGAGGATGGAGAGGGAATGGAGGGAGAGGAGGGAGTGGAGGATGGGGGGAAGTGAAGAAAGATTCTTGCAGTTTATAATGTGGAGGTGGTTTAGGGATATGCAGTGGGAGAGAGGTGGGAGACTGGGAAGTTTTGGGCACCCTTGGATTTCGAAGGACTGAAGTTGTGACAACTGCCCAAAGGACTCGGGCAGCTCGACGAGTTTGCACAGACAAGTGAGCCTTAGCGTCTTCAGAGCTGTCAGCTGCCCGAAATCTCTGGGCAGGGATATCAAATTTCCGCATGATGACAGCTCCAGGGATTGGAGAGAGGAGAGGTTGGGGAATGAATCGGGTAGATGGGTTAACGCCGGGCAGTTTCGAATTTCCAGGTGCTGGAGAGAAGTGAGCTGCCCGAAATCTTCAGGCAGGGATGTGAGAGAATTGCATTGGTGTATGTGGAGGGTTTGGAGGGAGGGAGAGAGGAGGGGCAGGGAGGGTGGTAGATTTTGGAGGCTCCAGCAGGAGGCGAGGGTAATGTGTTGAAGCGAGGGTAAATGCCCCAACCACGGAGGGAGAGAGGTGCGTGTGCTGCTGAGTTTCAGGTACTTGAGTAAAGCTAAGGGCTTGCTGATCGTGTCATCTGCGTTGTCATCTGCGTTGTCATCTGCACTGGGATCTGCATCGCTGCTGCTGCTGCCACTATCACCACTGCTGTTGTTGCTGCTGTCGACCCTACCACCAGTGCCACCACTGCTGTTGCTGCTCCCACGACGACCACCCTCACTGCTGCTGCTGCCACTGCCACCGCTGTGACTCCAGCTGCTGCTGCTGCTGCTGCCGCCAGTGCCAGTGCCACTACTGCTGCTGCCAACAGTCCCACCATCCCCCCTACCCATCCTTTCCTCTGGAATCTGCGGCAGCCGAGCGAAAATGCTACTGCTGCTTTCAGCCCCCCCAGCGCCGCTGCTGCCACTGCTGCTGCTGTTGCCGCCACTGCCACTGCTGCTGCCACTGCTGCCACTGCTGCCACTGCTGCTGCCACCACTGCCACTGCTGCTGCCACTGCTGCCACTGCTGCTGCCACCACTGCCACCGCTGCTACTGCTGCTACTGCTGCTCCCACTGCGGCTGCTACTGCTGCTGCTGCTGCCACCACTGACAGCGGCCCTCACAGCCTGTCTCCTGTCCGGCCTCTCCCTCGTAGCCTCTGGATTCTGCGGCAGCCCAGCGAACATGTGTCCATGGTCAAACTCCACATCCAGCGACTCGATACAAGATAAACTCAATAACGAGGACGGCAGCGACGCGATTCTGTCACACCCCGATATAGTCACCTCCCTTAGAGTCACCATCCGCTGGAAGCAGTCCGGGAGGGGCGCGAGCCTGGCGCATTCTGAGACTCTAAGTCGTTGTAACGAGCAGAGGCCGCTAATAGACGCCGGCAGGTGCATCAGCTGCTTGCATGTGACTAAAACGAGGGAAGTGAGCCTGCTGAGGTTCCCCAGGCTGGCAGGGAGGGCTTCCACCCCGCAGGACTGTATAAGCAGGTCTTTTAAGGAGGTAAGTGAGCCTAAGCTCTCCGGAAGGGAGATTAACTCCGAAGCGCCACGTAAGCGAAGGGTTTCTAGAGACGGTAGGTTGGAGAACAGTTCGTCAGGAAGGCTCCGGAAATCGCGCTCCGCGTTAATATCTAAGATGCTGAGCTGTCGCAGGCTGCTGACCTCGTCGGGGAGACTGGAGACGTTGCTGACGTGGAGCTGACGTATGCATTCCAAGCGGGGAAGCGCGGGAGAGAGGTAGCTGATGTGATCAGATCCTGACACGTGGAGAACATCTAAGGCGGGGGCAGGCGCGTCATAGGGCGGAAGCATAGGGCGCGGAAGAAGCGCATCAGAACCTCCCCGCGAAAGACTTCCCTCCGCGGATCTGGCGCGCGGAGCTGAGGATGCTTCCGCGGCTTCCGCAATGGCGAAAGCGGCGGAAGCGGCGGTATCACCGACCCAAGTACCGGAGGCGGAAGTGATCAGGCGGAGATGGGTGAGCGCGCGGCAGCGACAGAGCGCGTCCAGCAGGGCTGCGGAGATCGCTGGCAGTGCGGCGAAATCCGCGGAGGACGACTCCGCGCGTTGCTCCTCCTCCGCCATTCGGAAAGAAGGCTGTTCCGCCACGCGCAGGGAGCGGATTTGCGGGCAAGCAGCGGGTAATCCGCGGAGTAGCGAGTCAACGCCGGAGTCAATGGAGACAAGCGAGTCAACGCAGTCAGCCGAGTCAACGCAGTCAAGAGAGTCAACGGCGTCAACGACGGCGCCCCGCGGGAGGTCCAGAAACGTGAGGTAGGGCAGACGGGAAACCGCGCGGAGGATCTGCGTGGGCGACATGGCGCGCGGAGCGGAGAAGGCGGGGGAGAGCTTGCGCCAGCGCTTGCAGACCAGCGCGGGAGGGGATGTGGAATCCGGGGCGGACTCCGAATGGGAAGGGGAGGCGGAAGAGGGGGAATAGCGAGCGGAGGATCTGGCGAAGTCAGGGGGATGGTGAGCGGAAGGGGCCGCTTGCGGAGTGCAGTGCGCGGAAAGCACGACTTGGCGGAGCGGAGGGCGGAGGGGGGGCGGAGGGAGAGGAGGAGGATGTGCGCGAGCAGCTCGTCTGGTAGTCTGTTGATCGGCGGAAGGCTGTCGGCGTTCGGCGAGGCCGGGACGGCGGAGACGAGTAACGAATCCATGCTTAACGGGTCCGTGCTTGGCGAATCCATGCTAATCCAGTCCCGGAGCTTCGAAAGAACAGGCCGGGAACGAGTAAACGGCGAAGAGACTTTTGAGTCGACTCAAAAGTCACCTCGAATCCATGCTAATCCAGTCCATGTGTTCCAGTCCCGGAGCTTCGAAAGAGCAGGCCGGGAACGAGTAAACGGCGACGAGATGGTGAAGGACACTAGGACGGGCGCTGGCCGAAACACGGTAGGCCGCGAAGCATAGTAGCCTTTGAGCCCGATTCTCGTAGTCACCTACAGCAATACGGTAGGCCGCGACGCACGAGACTGGCCGTTACAGCTTTCGAAGCGCTGGTGACATGATCCACTCCTTACATGCACGACGACCGAAGAAAGGATCTGCCAGTTGCTTGCTACGGTATCATACGCCGCACCGAGTCCGACAGCCTCATTCCAGACTCCGAAGGGTTTTGCGGGCGAACCTAGAGGGCGAAATGGACGATGAATGCCTGGACCATGAATGCCTGACATCCCTAGCCAGAACATCTCAGGGAAGGGAGGCATGAATTTGTGCGTTTTTGTGTTACTGGTGTTTCTTCAGGTTCGTGGTGGCAGCAGGACCACGCTTTGGAGGAACTCCCAAAGCAACCACGAGCAGGGTGGTACAGTACAGTGCAAGCCTGGCTTGGCGAGTTCCCTTGGTTGTTCCGGCTGGTACACCTGAAGCTCGACACTGGAACACTGTTTGCGAGTCGCGCTGAATGTATTTGGTTGGGAATGGCCATCAGGGAGAGGCCAATCGGGACTGACTCGAGCACGGCATTTTGTGGACACCAGGAGTAGCGGGAAAAAATGCTTCTTGATGCTCGCCTACATTCCTTGGTATTTTTCCCATTTCTACTCCCTGTTCAGTTTGTAGTTTGTCGTGTGATCCCCGTTCTCAAAGTGTACCCTGACTTTTATCAGACGGGCCGCGAGCAATATTCTTGCTTCGGCATCCTCGGTTCGCACACTCAGCTCGTGTCAGAAAAATACTGCCGTGTTTCTCGTGTAAATCCTCCGCGTGACGAGGTTCTTTGCATACGCCCGAAAGACATCAGGGCAGTTTCCTCAAGTCTCAAAAGTCGGCCATCCCAGGGTTGGGGAGATGCTGCGGGGCGGGGTTAGGGCGGAGGGTAGCGCGGCGGTGGCGGGCGGGAGAGGGACTTGCGGAGCGGATGCAAGGGGAGGAGGTTGGGGAAGGGTGGGGGAGGTTGGGGACAGGATTTGGAAACTAGCGTTTGTAGCGAAGTGAGGTCTCGGTCAGGGCTTACTTTTGGCTTTAGGCCACCCTTAGAAATTCGGGTTCATATGAGTCAAGCCCTATATTTTCAGAATTCTTATAAGCCCCGCCCTTAGACGTGTGGGGCCAGCTGAATTTTTCGGCCTTTACTCGCTGGAGGAATAGCTGTTTCGTGAAGGTAGACACTCTACTACAGAAGTAGACAGGAGGGTGGAACACGTGGGGTGAGGGTGGAGCCGAGGCAGGAGCGCCTGCTCCTACATGGCTACTTCACTACTAGTGCACTCATCCATCACTCAAAATCTGAAGGGGTCATCCAGGCTCGACCCTTAATCTCAAGGGCTACAAAACCTCCAACTCTTAATGTTTTGGACTGTGATGAAAAATGCCTTTTAAACGACCCAAATTCAGGGCAGTAACCCTTGAAACATAGGCCCTGGTCTCGGTGTCGTCTTTCCAGGTGCCCTAATGCACTGTACGGTAGCTGCTCAGATAGTGGCATACAAGTCATATTCCCTTAGCACCCGGGGGGCGACGAGGCAGATTTCCCTTTTAAAGAATACTCGCCGTACGGTAGGGGCAACGTGGACTATGGAATTCCCCAGGAAATGAAGCGTTGTTTTTTGTGTACTGTGCATGGGCGCCTTGACTGGCGTATGCAGAGACTTAGTAAACATCGCCACGTCGCAAGCCTCTTCACCTGTGTATCAACTCAGCGTTTCAAGAGAATGTCAGAATTGATTCTGCGCTTCCTTGGTGCGTTCGTATTGGTTGTGGGTGGAATAATTTTGTGTGTTGTCTCTCCCGTGGTGCTTTCAAAACATTGCAAACTGTGTGTGCTCATAAAATACATAAACCCAATAACAAGAGGAGCAGCCTAGAGCTTGAACTCTACCCTAGGTGGTTCATAGGTGTAGGCCTCAGTATTGATGGGTGCTCCAAGGAGAGAGAGCTTTAGGAAGGCCCCGATCAGGTCAACCTGGTGGGGAGATACGTGTGCAGTGATGGGAGTGGCAAGAAAATCGTGTTTTCTTTTAGTCTAAAAACAAAGCACAACACGCAAGGGGTCTCACGTTAGGTTTCTGCTCTCCTGTACTTGGCTGCCCATCCTGTGAGCTCCTCACCTCCTCACCCTTCCCCACTCATACATGCATCATCCAGCAAACAAATAGAGGCCCAGACTCACCTCGAAGTTGGTCTGGGACACCGTCTTGCGGCTCTGCCTGTACTTGGCCACCCACTTCTTCATCTCCTCGTCCTGCTCCAGCTTCGCCTCAACCGTCTCCAGATCGCGCCCCAGGAACAGAGCCAGGTTCACCGTCTGCCGCGGCGAGAGCCCCAGGCGGGCGAACTTCTCCTTGATCTCTGCTGCACTCAGCTGCTCCCAGTCGGGCACCCTCCCTGCTGGGTCGGGCCCGTCGGCGTCGGCACGACCAAGCTGCTTGTCAAAGAACCCCCACTGAGAGAGGATGGATGGGAGGGATGGGAGAGGGGCCAGGAGGAGGGAAAGAGCAACAGGGGCATTAGAAAGCGCCTGAGAAACAGAGTCAGGGTCGCTGTCTGGCACAGCGTGAGCCCTAGGCGGGAAAACTTCTCCATGATCTCGCCTGCACTCAGTTGCTCCCAATCCGGCACCCTCCCTGCCGGGTCGGGCTGCTCAGCGTCGGCACTATTGAGCTGCTTGTCGAAAAAACCCTATTGGGAGCAGGGGAGGGGGGGATGGAAGGGACGGGAAGGGACGGGGGAGGGGGAAACGAGGGAGAGAGCAGTGGGAGCATTGGATGGTGCCTAAGGAGCAGCATTAGAGTCAGGAGTTGCTGCAGGCACAGCAAGACGAAGGAAGGCGGTGACGAGTGGGGGTAGGGTGGTGGTCGGATGGGAGGGAGGAGAAGGAGGAAGGAATGGGAGGAGGTCAGCAGCAAGAGGTAAAGCGAGCAGCACAACTACTTCAGCCGAAATCGAGAGCAGAACAGCCCCAGCAATACCTGCCCCAGCAGTACCTGCCCCAGCAATACCTGCCTCAGCAGTACCTGCCCCAGCAGTACCTGCCCCAGCAATACCTGCCCCAACAGTACCTGCCCCGGGGAGCCGATAGCGAAGTACAGGTTGAGTCCATCCTTGGGATCTCCTCCCGCCTTGCGCGTGGCAGCTGCCAGGAAGGTGGTCTTCACTGCGGCTTGGGCTGCACGGAGGGAAACGGGGGAGGAAACAAGGTGGGGGGGAGGGGGGAGGAAGCAAGTTGGGGGGAGGGGGAAAGAAGAACAGGGGGGGGAGGAGTAAGGGTGTGTGTGTGTGTAGATTTGCTGCTGCCAGAGTGGCAATCTTCAAGACAGATTGGGCTGTGTGGAAGCTAATGTGGGGTGATGGGGTGGAGGGTAATCCCGAGAGGGGGGGGGGGGGGGACGACAGGTGCCTCAGTTCTGAAGTCTCAAATCTCATCTCCGAATTGGATCAGATTGGCGTCCTAATTTTTCTCGCCCACTCGAGTGCCTTCACCCATTCCAGCAGCCAAAGCGCAACCTTGACCGTACAACACAGACCACAGGTGCCTAAGTCCTCAAGTCTCACCTCCGAACTGGATCAGATCGGCGTATGAGAGAGGGCCGCCCTTAGCGCCCTCGTCCACGCGCGCCTTCACCCCTTCCAGCAGCTGCAGGGCCGCCTTGAGGCCCTTGTTCTCGGAGCGAGAGATCTCCTCGCTGGGAGGGGGTGGGGGGGAGGGTCGGGGGTGGAAGAGAGATGGTGTTGTTTGAGTCAACTCGAGAAGTACTTAGAGACAGCAGCTGCAGGGCCGCCTTGAGACCTTGTTCTCGGGACAAGAGAGCTCCACGCTGCAACGCCTAGGAGGGAGAGGAGTGGGAGAGGTTTTATGATTCGGCTGGGAGACGAAACTCTTCTTTAGGCGGTGGAGAGGAGGGGCGTTGAACGGGTAGAGGGCAGGAGAGAAGGGTTGCCAAAACAATTCGCATGGCGACTCATGGAATGGGATGAACGCCATGAGTGGCACGAATAGCAGGAATGGCAGGAGAAGCATGGTGTGGCAGGAGTGGAATCGCATGGTGGCATGGCATGGTGGCATGGCATGGTGGCATGGCATGGTGGCATGGCATGGTGGCATGGCATGGTGGAATGGCGTGGTGGAATCGCATGGTGGCATGGCATGGTAGAATGGCACAGTGGAATGGCATGGTGTGGCAGGAGTGGCAGGAGTGGCAGGAATGGTGTGGTACCTGAATCGGATGGAGCCGTTGGCCCCTCCTGTCTTAGTCTCCTGTAGCGTAGAGAACGGGAGGAAAGCAGAGAGGAGGGAAACGCACGGGGAACTAGGCGTGAAGCTGAAGGAGTCAGCGTTACCAGCTGTTACGCCCTGGTAACAGAACAGCCAGGACACGTTACGCTGGTTTAACAGAACTCTCAAAAAAAGGAGTCAACGTTACCAGCAGTTGAGCCTTGGTAACAGAGCAGTCATGATGTGTTTCAATGGGCGGAAAGGCATGTCATGCTCTTCCCATGCTCTTTATTCATGCGTTGCTCCACGCCCCTGGGCACACGTGGCACACACCTTGTCATACGTGGCGGCGTCATTGAGGGCCAATCGCAGGATGTCAGGCACAAGTTCCTTGTTGGCCTGCCACGTGGAAGATGGGTGTTGGTGACGAAAGAGAGGAGGGCGGTGGAGGGATTGGAAGGAGAAGAAGAAAAAAGAAGAAAAGAAAGAGACAGAGAAAGAGAGTGCCATACAATTGTTTCCAGCGCGGGTAGGACGAATGAGAGAGTGGGGAAGTAGAGGAGGGAAAGGGACGACGAGCAGCAGAGAGGGATAGCCATAATGTCCGATAAGAGCTAGAGTGGCTTACGCTGATGGCGTTGAAAGCAGAGAGGGTTATGTGTCATGATGGATGACGGGGAAGAGCTAGGGGAGGTGGGCGGCTTACACTGTTGGTGTTGAACAGGTCCTACTTGAGGCCCGTAGGATAAAAGTAGTGATTTGAGACGTCTCAAAGCAGAGAGGGATATGACATGATAGATCTAGGGTGTGTAGGTGGCTTACACTGATGGTGTTAAACAGGTCCTCCTTGAGGCGCACTGATTGTGTCACATTCGTTACATGTCACAAGGGGGGACAGAAGAGGACGGAAAGAAGCACGGGGCAAGCCATTGAAGCAGCAAGAACGGCGGAAGGTGCAGGCCAGTCCATTGTGATATAGTGAATTTGGTGGCATTGAAGCAGCCTGAGCGGCGGAAGGTCGTTTGGTGCCTGGCCCAAAGCATTAAATAGTGAATCTGTGATTCTCACTCTCATTAATGGGCATTAGCTGCGGTATTGCTATCATGACACTCACTCAGGTAGGGCGTTATGCAATAATAACACTCATTCAGCTGGGGTGTTAAGCAGCAATAACACTCACGCAGGTAACCCGCCCGCTGGTTGCGCTCAGGTAGCGGTAACAGTCATCAACTGTAACAGCAATTGTAACACTGTAGCACGCACGCAATGAGTATTTCCAACACCCAGCACTCACGCAGGTAAGCCGCCCGCTGGTTGCGCTGAACAATATTTGCGGCAAGGGCGGGGTCAGACGACGTCAACAAAGGCACCCACAGAGGGCTCTGAGGGGAGACGAGGTAGGATGGGGAACGAAAGAAGGGAAGGGGGAAAGGGGAGCGAGGGAAGAGATAATGAAAGAGGAGAGCGATGGAAGCGGACAAGGAGAAGCAGATAACGACTACGAGAGGGGAAGAGGGGCGTCGGGTGGGGAAAAGAGAAGGGTGCAGTCCGGTGCAGGGCGAAGCAGTGGAAGAGAGAGAGTAGCTGGCGGAAGGATGGCCATTTCCAGAGCTTACATCACAACCGATGTCATCTACTCACAGAAGCGGCAGTGAGAGCGGTGAGCAGCGCTTGGCGGCGGGGGAGGGCGAGAGGCGCGGAGTCCGAGGAGGAAGAATCGGAGGATGCCTGGCAGCGAACTGCTGCACGCTGGAAAGGGGGAAGACACGAAAGACAAGACAAGGGAGACACAGGGAACAAGCCGAGAGATTCAAGAGGAGCGGCGGGAGAGGAGAGAGCGGCGGGGGTAAAGAGGCAGGGTGGGAGGACAGAGCAGCTCTCTCAGAGCTGTACGAAGCGGCTCTCGTGCAAGGTGTACGAGTACATATTAGTATGTATATACGTGTGTGTGTTTATATATTTATGCATACACTCATTGGTACCTGGAAGCTCTTCACTGCTGCAGTCTTGGCAGTGCCTGTATGCAGAACCACACGATGGCATGTCAAGGGAAAAAGAGGCATGGAATAAGAACGGCACTCAGGGGCGTCGACAGAGCATGACATGCAGGCCCATGGCATGACATGCAGGTCCATGGCATGACATGCAGGCCCATGGCATGACATGCAGGTCCATGGCATGACATGCAGGTCCATGGCATGACATGCAGGCCCATGGCATAACATGCAGGCCCATGGCATGACACGCAGGTCCATGGCATGACATGCAGGTCCATGGCATGACATGCAGGTCCATGGCATGACATGCAGGTCCATGGCATGACATGGGACGACAAACACAAAACACACGCAATAGGTGAGGCCAGGAACCTGGAGCACCGGGTTTTGAGATGTCTCAAAGCACAGAGTACACAAAACAATTGAGGTCAGAAATGAGGAGCACCGGAAACATGGGCTCCAAATGAGTGAAGGGTTTTCAGTTCCAACCTACTACATATGTTGCATTGACAGATTCCCCATTCTCCCGTATCTCCAGGCGTTTATGGAATCCCCATACCTCCATCCCCGTTATGCACTCACCGGCAAGGGCCTTGCGCTGCGCGAAGGCGGAGGACTCCGCGGACGAGAGAAGCGAAGCCTGAGGAAGGGAGGAACGGGAGGAGGGGGGAGGGAAAATATGGACGGGAAATAGCGATACGAGTGGGAGTAATGGGAGGGAAGGAGGAAGAATAGGAGGCGGCAGGGAGTGGCAATGCGGATTGCCATGATCGCGGAGAATGGGAGGAATGGCGAATACACAGAGAGTTCGGAAAATGCTTATAATGAAAGCGTATTGTGAGCATAAGAGGCCACAACGCACATGGCACAGGAGGCCGAGAAGAAAATTACTAACCGTGGATACAGACGACATTGCGAGGGAAGCCATGGCTACTAGGACTGCAGCGAGCGAGGCGGGAGAAACTAGGAAAATGTCAGGAAATTCTAGCCAAAATTAAATTTCTGCACAGGTATATGAACGTCCGCGGAGGGATCTCTTCTGATGGTGGTTGCAGGTTCCCTGAATCCGTAAAAATGTCCAGTTCCAGAAATTTCAGCGCTCACAGTGCTGAAGCTGAGTCAGCAGCCGAGGATCCGGGAGATTGATGGAATTTAATTGGCTGTGAGAATCAAGAACGAGGGTTGGGGTTGGTTGAGGGAGAGGCTGGGCTGCCACGAGAGCAGCTCGAGGATCTTGAGTTTCTCCACGTGTTGAGAGATGGCAGCGCCAGCGAGACACACTCGATTGAAAAGCCCCGCGCGACAATAATTTTATGTTACGTGCGTCCTACTTAGATGATGAGTGATATACTAATGTTGCACACAGTAGAGCTACTGGTACCATTCTTTATAGGCAAAGACGAAACTTTTCAATTGCGTGTCTGAGTTGAAAAAACACAAATTTATGTATCTGTGAGATTTTTATTATTATTTCTGAATTATTATTTCCGTAAAACTACACGCTTAGTTTGAACCTTCCTATTGTTCTCTCGAGAGACGTTTACACTTTTCTGGTATAGTAGACCTTTTGCTTCTTCTAGATTGCACGTCTGTCACACTCCCTTATAGAGGATATGCAACCGACAACAGCATCAAATTCAGCTCGGTATTTCCGAGAAACGGCACCACCAACCTTGAGAATAGCGACTCACCACCACTGAATAAGGAGGCGTGCCCGATTACCTCACCACATGTCTTCACCATAGTCAGGCAGCTCGTCCTCACATCTCGGCCTTATCCGTCGCTGCAGCAGCAGTCACGTAGTTCCGCTTTACGGTTGACAAGATTAAAGGGCATCTGGTAATGACGTTGCCATAGACCCCTCCGTTCACAGTGCAGACTTATCCAAGTAAACCGTTGCAGAGAGTATTTATGTCAGCACGGTTTCTAAAATCGGCATTCTTCAGCGACTGAGTCTTAGGTTCCAACCTAGACACACTTCTAGAAGGCCAAGACAGTTCACCTTTTCAAACCCTAAGTACTCGCGCCTACCAATGGTGCTGCGCTTTACGCACGTAGGTCCTCGCTTCTGCAAGCCGTAGCGGCGATGGCGACCGTTGAGAATCCATCTTTTGCGACAACATAGTAACTCGTCGCACACACCAGTATGGAGAGTAGCACTAAGGAGAGCAGCAGTAGCATCAGCACTGGCAGTAGCAGCAGCACCGTCAGTCGCGGAGGCAGCCTCTGGTTCCTACAACCCGCCCCTCCGAATAGCTACGTACTCGACGACTCAGCGCCTACCAAATCCCGCGGAGCAGCCAAGCACGCGCAACAGAATGCGGGGAAGAGCGCGGGCGGTGGCGGAAGGGGGCTCTTCCCCTTTCCCCGGCCAAGATCTGGTAGCCCGCTTGCGCCCTGGGGAGGGGGAGGCGGCGGCGGAGGGATAGGGGGAGGCGGAGGGGGGTCGGAGACCTGGATGCGCGGATTCAGCGGGAAGTTGGGGCGGTATCGGCGGTGCATGCTGCTGGTCGGGGGAGTGACGTTAGTGAATGGGATTCTGTCGGTGATCCTACTGGAGCTGATTATAAACGGTGCGAGGTCGTGCCCTGGGGGTAACTGCCACCTGCACATGACTGAAGCTGATGCCCAGCTGAAGAACTATGACATGTGAGTTGTCTGTTGATAGCTTGAGGGACTGATGAATGATGGGGGGGGATGACAAGCAAGATCGTGTTTGGTTCATTGCCACCTGCATGCATGTGACTGAAGCTGATGCTCAGCTGAAGAACGATCAGCTCAGCTGATGCATGTGAGTCGGATGACATTAGGTGTGAGTTGAGTATTTATGGCATGACATGATACATGAGGGTCGGATGACATTAGGTGTGAGTTGAGAATTTATGACATGACATGATACAATGAGCCCAGCTTTCCCCCTCTTGAGATTTCCCTCCCGTTCCTCTTATCGGTCATTTCTCACACCATCCGTCTCCCACTCCCTCCCTCCCCCCCCCCCCCTTTGCTCTTCCCCTTCCCCCCCATCACCTCTCCCCCCACCCTCTGAGGAGTCTATTTTTTCTCTTCCCCTTCCCCCCCCATCACCCCCATCAAAAATAGACCCTTCCCCCCCTTCACCTCTCCCCACCCTCTGATCTTCCTTTCCGTTCCTCACGTTCCGCCCACCCAAGTCTCAAGACCCCCCTGCCCCCCGCCTCCCACTTCATCTATCAACTCCAACCTCCCACTTCCCCGTGTCCCCCCTATCCGCCATACCCCTTGTTACTCCTGGTTTTGAATCGACTCAAAAGCAATGCCCCCCGCCTCCCACTGCAGCCTTCAACCCCGTCTTCCCACTTCCCCGTGTCCCCCATCTTCCACTGAATCCTTGTGAATTCCAAAAAATCTCACAACCACTTCAGTTCAGCCTTCATCCCCATCTTCCCACTTCCCCGTGTCCCCCTTATCCGCCATACCACAGATTTTGGACTCCTTCCCCCCCCCTCTCCCCCTTCCCCCTCCTTCCCCCTCCCCCCCCCTCCCCTCCCCCTCTTCCCTTCCCCGCTCCCCCTTCTATCCCGGCCCACCCCTCCTTCCCCACTCTCCCATACCAGCCATTCTACCCGCCAGTTGTCGTCCCGCAGGGCCCAGTTCCTCTCGGACGATGCTGACGTGGACAGTGACGTGGACAGCGAAGCTGATGTGGACGAAGGACAAGTGGTGGATATAGAGCTTCCCTCCCTCTCCTCCTCCTCCTTTTCCTCCTCCTCCTCCTTATTGTCATCCTCGAAAGCAGGAGGGAGAGGAGGGAGAGGAGGGAAGGCAGGGAGGGAAGGGAAGCAAGGGAGCGAAGGACAGCGAGGGAAGGTAGAGAAGGGAAGGAAAAGTGGCGCACAGGGAAGACAGGGGGGTGCGGGAGGGAGCGGCAGGGCCAAGCCTAAGTCCAGAGAGGGTGCAAGAGATGCAGGGGGAGAAACAGCAAGCCATGTGGCGAAGGGCAATGTGCTAAAAGGAAAGCTTGGTGCCTTTAGGTCTTCCTCCACTCGATCCTCCTCCTCCTCCGCTTCCTTCCGTGCATCAGATGAAACTGACGATGAAGCCCCAGATGAAACTGCAGATGAAACCCCGGAGGTTTCATCTTCCGTGTCGTCTGACTCGCGGTTCAGCTTCTTTGCGCATCTAGATGCTGCAGCAGCTCACCTCTCCACTCCTCGCAAAACTGGCTCAAAGAAAACCTCTCGTGGCTCCTCTCCCCCCACCAAACCTCGTGTCACCACACCTGTTGTCACAAAACCTCGTGTCACCACACCTGTTGTCACGAAACCTCGTGTCACCACACCTGTTGTCACCCAATCTCTTGTCACCACACCTGTTGTCACCAAACCTCGTTATACCACGCCTGCTGTTACCACAACCGCTGTAACCACTCCTGCTGTCACTCCAACCATCCTGAAAAGCACGGAGAACCTTGTTCCTGCTGCTACTTACACCAGGAGCACTCCCAAAGCCATCAGTGAAACTCCCTCTGCTGTCAGTAACACTCTCAAAAGCTCTAGTAGCACTCCCACAACCGTTTCTGTCACCCCCACGGACACCACTAGCACACCCACAGCTGTCACTATCACCCCCGGCACTGCCATCAGCACCGCCACCCCTGCAGGGAATGGTGCTGCTGCTGCTGAGGCTGATGCTGCTGCTTCTGCTGCTGCTGCTGCTGCTGCTGGTGAATCTGCCTCTGCTGTTAATGCTGGTGTTGCTGCTGGTGCCGATGTTGGTGCTGGTGCTCGTGCTCATGCTGATGCTGCTGCTGATGCTACTGCCAGCACCGCTGATGCTGATTCTGAAGCTGCTGGTGATTCTGCCTCTGCCACTAATGCTGGTGCTGCTGCTGCTGTAGATGTTGGTGCTGGCGCTGATGCTGATGCTAATGCTGCTGCTGCTGCTGCTGCTGCTGCTGATGCTGTCTCTGTCGCTGATTCTGCTGCTCATTCTCATACGGTTAGTGGTGACCAAGAGGGAAAGGATTCAGGCAGTGATCCCGGCACAGGCAGCAATGGTGCTGGCAGCAGCAGCAGCGCCAGCAGAAGCAGCAGCAGCAATGGTGGGGAAGGTAGCAGTGAAATCGAGATTAGCAGTGGGGAAGATAGCAGTGAGCGCACGAGCAGCAGCAGGGAGGATAGCAGTAACGACAAGAGCAGCAGCAGCAGCAGCAGCAGCAGCAGCAGCAGCAGCAGCAGTAGGGATGAAAGTGGCTCTTTCACCTCTCAATCCTCCTCAACCTCCCTTCCTGCCCACTCGTCTCCCCGTCTCATCCCCTCTCCTGCCCTCTCCTCTCCATCCGAACCCCACGCTTCCCAGCGTGTTCCTGAAACTCAGAGGCAAGATACTGCCAAGCAAGACCAACAGCCCGCCGCCCAGCAACAGCAGTCTGCCGCCCAGCAGCAGCAGTCTGCCGCCCAGCAGCAACGTGCTGCCACTCAAGAGAAGCAGGCTGCTGCTCAGCAGCAGAAGCCTGCCGCCCAAGAAAAGCAGACTCGTTCTCAGCAGCAGAGCAACTATGTTGTCCAGCAACAGCAGGCTGCCGCCCAGCCGAGGGAAACTGCCGGCCAGCAGCAAGAGAGTGCCGCCCAAGAGCAAACCACTGCCAACCAGGCTGCTGCCCAGGCTGGCTCCAGGACCCGCATCCCCAAGCCTTTCTACGAACGGATGAGTGACAGGTGGCACGTAACGCCGTTACCGCGAGTGCACGGCGCGTACCTGTTACAACAAAGGGAGGACTACTCCAGCGTGTTACTGGTACAGGATATCTGCTACCTGTTTATGGCGGGTAAAGGGGTGCACCATAACACGTACACAGGCGTGTGGTTTGTGAGGGAGGCGATGAGTGAGAATAGCTCGGAGTTGGTCGGGCCGTACTCGCCTGATTGGAAGAAGAGGAAGGAGAGCAGGAGAGAGGGAGGAGGGGGGGGAGGAGGGGTTGCTAGGCAGAGGCGAAGGCTTCTTTCGTCGCAGGAAAATGAGCAGGAGGAGGAGGGGGGAGAGGGAGATAGGATGCACGTAGATAATTCAACAGATGAGGAATCATTCCAAGGCGCAAGGGGGAGGAGGAGGCTGCTAGGCAGAGGAGGCAGGGATGGTGGTGCCAGTACTGCTGGTGCTGTTGGCAGCGGGGTTGGCAGCTGGTTCAGCCGTTTCGTGGGGCTGAAGCAAGGAAGGGAAGGAGCAGGAGGGTTCATGGGAACGGGCCACTACCGTGACCTATCAAAGCTGGACCTAGGCAAGAGCATGTGCTCTCTTTTCAAACCCAGTAAAGACCTAGATACCACCCATCTCTTCTCGGACTCGCACGACCTCCCTATACTGAAGCAGCGGCAGAATAAGACCTACGGGCGGTTTTTGGGGCACCCTGCTCTCGCGCAGTATATCGCCGAGAGCAGCTCGACTGCCCGGAAAAAACTGAAGAAGAACAATCCGAACGATTTCCGGCGGCGGGTGGGGATAGTGGGGCGGTACGACACGCACATCGGGCATTTCGGCGAGTCGGTGGCAGCGATGTGGGAAGTTTCCCGGCACTTTCCAAAGGAGGGCCCGTTTGGGGAGGACGAGGAGGCTGAGTGGGGAGATGCGAAGGTGGGCGGGGCGCGGGAATTGGGGGAGAAGTGGAGCGAGAGGGAGAGGTCGAGGAGGAGGCAGAGGTGGAAGAGGAGAGAGAAGGAGGGAGCGGAGCTGACTCTTTTCTTTCCGAGTGAGAAGACGATCCGGAGCAAATGGACGGCTGGGATCGCGCAGATGCTGTTTGGCCCGGCGTCGGAGATGCTGGCCGGGCATAGGGAGGGGCGACCCCTGTGCTTCGACCAGGTGGCGTTTGTGCTGAATTCCCGGCACTTGAACTCCTCTGCACAGGGGTTTAGGGAGGACGCGTGGGGACTGGCAGAGGTGACGTCGCGGGTGTTTAAGAGGCGGGAAGAGAACGGGGTGGTTGGGGATGGGAACGGGGATTTGGAGGAGGAGGAGGAAGAGGAGATGAGGGAAGAAGACCTAGAGAAGCAGCGTCGAGAGACGGCGGTGGAGGCGGAGGCGGCTACTGGGACCATTGACCGCGGAGAGGAGGAGGAGAGGGAGAAGGAGAGGGAGAGGAGATTCCGTGAGGAGGTGATTCAGCGAGAGAGGAGGCACGCGCTGGCGCGAGTGATCATACGGCAGGGGGACGAGGTGCTGTTCTCGGCCCTGCGGGGGTACGACCCCGAGAGGAAGCTGGAGGTGACGGTGGTGGAGCGCGAGCAGCAGCGCGTGGTGAGCAACATGGGCGCCGTGGCGTGGCAGGTGAAGGACCTGTTTCCGCGCCAAGCCACCAGCCAGTATCGGTTGGCCGAGTCCCCACTGCTCGAGCAGATGGCGCTGTTTCAGGTGAGACGGAGGGCTTTTTCAGGTGGTTTTTCAGGAGCACTGCTGTTTCCGGCAAGATGCTGCAGTTTCAGGTGCTGTTTCAGGTAGGAGGGGCACTGTTTCAGGTTTGTTGAAGTTCCTCTAGTCTCCTTGGGGGAGGAAGCTGGAGGTGACGGTGGTGGAAGGGGAGCAGCAGCGTCGCTGGGTGGTTTTTTGGCGCCCCAAAATCCGCGTGAACTGAGTCGTTTTTTTAGGTGCCTCAAAAATCTCACCAGAGAAGAGAAGGGAAGGAAGCTGAAGGTGACGGTGGTGGAACGGGAGCAGCAGTGCTGGGTGGGCAACCTGGGCACGGCAGCGTGCGTCCATCTTCCTACCCTCAAAGTCCACCTTTCTCTCCCTTCTGTGTCCCTCCCTCCCCTCCCCCCAGCACACGGTGCTCCTGATCACCATGCACATCGCCACATGTTGTCGGTGATTTTTTTAGAATTCTAAAAAAAACACGGCGCCACCCTCAGCAACCTTCTCTTCCTGCCTTTTTGTACCCTCTCCCCCTCCTGTGCCCCCTTGTGCCCCCTTGTGCCCCCTTGTGCCCCCTTGTGCCCCCTTGTGCCCCCTTGTGCCCCCTTGTGCCCTCCTGTGCCCCCTTGTGCCCCCTTGTGCCCTCCTGTGCCCCCTTGTGCCCCCTTGTGCCCCGCGCTCTCCTCACCTCCCTCCCTCCCCCCAGCACACGGCGCTCCTGATCAGCATGCACGGCGCCACCCTCAGCAACATCATCTTCCTGCCTCCAGGCAGCACTGTGCTCGAACTCTTCCCCCTCAAATTCCACTCTGACGCCTACAAGAACCTCGCCCTTCGCAACGGAATCAACTACTTCTCGTGGGAAAACTCGCACCTGGAGGCGTCTGCCTACACCGACAATTGCTTAGCTAAGGGCGGGTGGGAGAATCTAAGCGACCAGGAGTGCAAGCAAGTGCGGGCGTGTTTCCTGTGTGCGAGGGACCACTCGATCACGACGGTGAATATGGAGGAGTTGGATAAGGTGCTGCTGAAGGTGCAGCGAGCAGTGAGGAAGTTCGTGCACGAGGAGAGCTTGAAGAAACTGCATGGGAGCGCATTGGCTACAGCCTAGGCTGATCAGTATAGGAGCAGCTGCAGCATAGGCTGATTATTATAGCAGCGGTTGCAGCATAGGCTGATCATTATAGCTGCGGTTGCAGCATAGGCTGATCATTATAGCAGCGGTTGCAGCATGAGCTGTTGCAGCGGCTGCTGCTGCTGCTGTTGCTGTTGCAAGTGCAGCGAGCAGTGAGGAAGTTTGTGCACGAGGAGAGGATTTTTGAGGCGCCTCAAAAAGTTTGTGCACGAGGAGAGCCTGAAACAGCTGCATGGGGGTGCTGCAGCAGCTGTGTAAGGGGCGTGTGGTCATGAATCACGGCTGGGAACTTCGAGGAGTTGGATAAGGTGCTGCTGGAGGTGCAGCGAGCTGTCAGGAAGTTCGTGCATGAGGAGAGCCTGAAGAGGCTGCATTGGGGGTGTGGCAGCTGCTGCTGCTGCATAGGCTGCTGATGTACACAGTACATTGCAGGGGCTGCTCTCTTCAAGGGGCCTTCACTAGAGGAAGCTCTTGCATGAGGAGAGCTTGAGAAGGCTGCATGCATGGGGGTGCAGGGGCGGCTGCACAGCGTGACTTTCAGAGCATCAGGTATTGCATTAGGGTGTTACTGTGGCAGGGGGTTGCTGCTGCGGGTGCAGCAAGCAGTGAGGATGCTTCTGCGTTATGAGCGTTTTCATTGAAACAGCTGCAAGGGAGTGCAGGGGCTGCTGCTGCTGCTGCATGAGCGGTTTGCTCACTCCCATGAGCAGGGTGCTGCTGCTGCATCGGCTGCTCACTCCCGTGAGTAGGATACCCTTTTTGACATGCCTCAAAGTTAGGGTTTAGTAGGTACCGTACCCTCATCCCTGTCGGCCGTTGGTTGGTAGGTTTGGTATGGTGGCAGCCGTCTGTCAAAATGCCGTCTCTGCTGCAATGACACCACTGCAGCAGGCTATCTGGCAAATCATACCTTACGCTCTGAATTGTGTGCGGCTGTGCTGTGTCCTCACAGGGCGATTCAGGGATGGTTCATAACGATGCAAATCATACCTCTTTGCAGAGCCCCAGACAACCGCAGAAAGAGGTATCAAAGTTAACGAATGAGTAGAACCATGGCATACAAGGGAATATAACCTAGTGGGTTGTACTCTCTAAGCCACAACCCTATATAGTGTATAACAACATACAAGGATATGTTTGACACACCCCCTAGACTGGATAGGGGCAGTGCCTGGTGAGCGATAAGCAGCTCAGAGTGGCACTACTAGTCCAGCCTCAAAGGCAAGGGTCTAAAGACCAGTCAAACGAGTACAAACAAGGCAAGAGCAAGACCAGGGCGGCACTACTAGTCCAGCCCCTGGGAAGAGGCCACAAGGCCAATCAGGGTAATATATATAAAGGTCTGTTCACAATAAAGGTCCTAGCAAGTGAGAGGCTACAGGAACGAGACCTAGCTGTACACAGTGTCGCTGCGCATGTGCCTTCGTAAAGATATCAGCTCTGATGGCACCGGACCGGAGGCCAAGTGTACTACGCGGGCCAGGCGACGCTGCTATAGCCCGCGCAGGAGGAAGTACCGCAGCTGGATGTGCTTCGCTCTACCCTCGAGTCTAGGCTCCTGACACAGGAGGATCATGGCCCTGTTGTCAGCATATAGAACCGGGGCACAGCTAGGCTGCTCACCTAAGTCGGTGAGCAAGAAGGTCAGCCAGCGAACCTCCTGTGCCGCCATGTCATCAGCGTAGATCTCAGTCTCACAGCTAGACTGGGCAACAGACGAGGAGCGATTTGACCAAAACGGGATGGCACGTGCACCAAACTAAAGCAGTAGCCCTGGGAGGACCTGAGAGACTCGGCGCCGTCTGCCCAAGAAGCGTCTGTCTGCCCGGTAAGGGCCACTGGTCCACGTCCTCCTAGCACTAGCCCCATGCCCGATGTACTTGCTAGATAACGCAAACCCCTTTTAGCTGCCGACTAGTACTGTGGTTGGTGTCTGCCAGTGGCCACAAAGCGAGCCAGGATGCTGAGAGGGTATGCGAGATCTGGACGAGTGCAAGTCATCAGGTACATGAGGCAACCCACCAGCTCTGCGTAGCAACCACTAGGCTCTACAGCCTCTTCCAGATCGTCTACATAGACAAGGATGTAGAACGAAGTTTGGCCGGAATGGACGAAGAGCAAGGGATCTGCAGACGAAGGGAAGAATAGTAGGTCAGCAAGTAGCACGCATTGTGTCATGCCACTCACGGGGCGCCTGTCGCAAGTCGTAGACGGGGCGCCGGAGAAGCCACTTGGTACCAGGGGGAAAGCTACCGGAGAAGCCATGGGGGCGGCGCAGGTAGACCTGCTCATGTAGAATGCCCTGGAGGAAAGCTGTGGAGAACTCGAGGGAGTGCAGCTCGTAGTCTTGCTGTGCTGCTACGTGTAGTAGTGCCCAAAGAGTAGTCATCTTCGGGATCGGGGCGAAGGTCTGAAAGAAGTCCACCCCCTCACGCTGACTGAAGCCTCGAGCAACGTAGCACGCCTTGAAAACATGGACCTCTCCAAGAGGGCGCTTCACCTTAAAGAGCCATAGGCCATCGACGACGAAGGTGCCGATGGATCTCCAAGATGCCATCTCCTGCTCCATGGCAGCTATCCACTGAGAGGGGGGGGGGGGACCGGGGCGGGGACAGATGGGGGAAGGGACTCTGCCGAGCCGCGAGAGTCAGCAAACTCCTCGGCAAGGACAACCGACAGGAGGGGTGACGTGAGACACACTAGACGGGGTAGGGCAGGGAGGGGGAGGAGCAGGGGCTACCGGTGGAGGGGGGGGAACCAGGAACTGGGGGGATGACCGGGGGACCACGGTGGGGAAAGCGGTGGTAGAAAGAGACGGACTCGTCAAAAGTGACGTCGCGAGAGGGAAAGAAACGGTGAGAAGGCGGGTGGTAGAAGTGCCAGTCAGACGAGTCGAAGGGGAAACCTAGGAAGACACAGAGGACAGTGCGGACAGTGAGCTTGTCCGTGCAAGAGGCACAAACGTGAGCTAGGCAGCCCCAGACGTGGAACGCAGACGCGTTACCAGGGAACCCGGTCCAACGAAGGGTCGGCGAAACCTGCGGCCACTGGGAGCGCGGCCAAATGCTAAGCTGGTGAGCGGCGTAGCGAACGGCGAACGACCACAGAAAATGGGGTGCACCGGCATGAAGCATGGAGGTAAAAGCCACTTTCATGACCAAACCGATGCGTCGCTCAGCGATCCCATTCTGCTGCCGGGAGTCGGGCAGGGTGAACGTCTGGGTGATCCCCTCCACACAACTGAAGCGACTAAGGCAGCCAGAGGCGAACTCGCCAGCACGGTCGGAGTGAAGACGCGACACAGGGAGACCTCAGTGAACACGCGCAGAGACAAACCACGGGATAAGAACGTCAGGCACGTAGGCCTTCCGCTCCAGGGGAAACACTGTGGTGTAGCGCGTGTGGTCGTCGACGAAGACGTGTAAGGGCAGGGTGACCTAGACGGTGGTGCCACAGAAGCATCAGGTGATTAAGCGACCGACACAAGCAAGCCGCAACAACCTGGGTAGATGCAGACACCTGGGGAGACGTCCCAACCGTGGGGGACGCGGTGTTTAGCGTGAACAGGCCAGACACCGGGTCCCGGGGGAACGTGATGAGGGGAGCACCCGTGGCGGCCTCGGTACAGACAGCGTACTGCTCGTGACCAGGGAACGTAGTGGTGACGCCAAGATTCTGGAGGCAGCCGACACCAACTAGGTTCCTAGAGAACGAGGGGATGTGCAGGCCTGTAAGGGAGCCCGAATGAACCACCGGACAAGGAAGGGTGGTGGAGCTACGGGCAACTACAGGACCTGGGGAGGGGTCTGCAAGGGCAACTGCGGCGGGAACGGCAAATGGCGTAAGCGTAGTGGAGTCCCGAAAGAAACACCGGGAAGCGCCGGAGTCCAGGGTGAAGGAGAGCGCGGCCGTGACGACAGGAGTCGGAGGAGCGAGGGAGGAGCCAAGGCTAAAAAAAGCAGGGGATCCTACGCCTGACGCAGCAGGGGAGTCTGAACTGGGCACGCTAGGCACACTTACAGTAGGCAACACTAGAGTCATCGACATACTGCACATACAAAGCAGAGCTAATCTCATCCATGTCCATATAAAAAATCGTAACACCACGACGAAGCAGACTGTGCCAGTCAAGGAGGTCTGGCGCCGGGCCAAAGCGGAGACGAAACAAGTCGTCTAGGCGACCGAATCAATGAGTGGGGGAATGGTCGGTCTTACCGCACACGAGGCCGCGGCGAGGACCGGTCTGGAGCTGGTACTGGCAGCCCCTGTCACTCAGATCACCACACAATGACATGCTGCACGCACGACCACTGCGACCACCACCACCACCGGCGCCAGGCCACCGGGGCGGGAGACGACCGACCCCCCGCTGCTGCTGCTGCTGTTCCAACAGCGGCGCCTGCTGCTGGTGTTGCTGCTGGGGCTGCTGCTCTGAGGCCCCAACCCCCTCGCCAGTACTACCGGCAGGCAAACCACCTCCACCACGGCCTCCACCCCCTCCTCCACTACCCCCGCCGCACCCAGCCTTGGGGCAGCGACCCTTACCCGGACGAAACTACGCTGCGGTAGCCGCGGCGACTGTTTCCGCAGCAGAGGCAGTCTCAGCGACAGTCGTAGAACCGTCAGAGTAAGTGCACTGAGTGGGGGCACAACTCTGAAAGATAGTGACCAGCACAGTATCGCTAGACTCGGCGATAGAGAGCTGACGAGTCTATGTGGCAGTCAGGGTGTCGACAAAGTCAGTTTGGGTAAGGTCAGCGGGGTGGAGACTAAGAAAGTGATCGCGGGCGGTAGCAAGGCCGTCAGGGAGGCGGGTGGCAAGCAGGTAGAGGGTAGAGCAGATGGGGGGCTGAAACACACGAAGCTGGGCTTCAGTGCAGGCAGCGCGCCAGGTCGCATCTAGCGTATAACAAGTGGGCGGCCAGGTTAGCGACAGTGGGAAAAGACGCGAGATCACGAAAGGGCATAGGCAAGATCAGGCGACCTACAGAGGCAGATGGCGTAGTGGAATAGCGCGCGACAACAGCCTCTAGGAACTCCTGCGCAGTCCTGACCGACCTAAAGCGGGGGCGCTCAGACAGGGGGAGGGCATGGCTAATCGCGAGCTGTGCGACAGCGTCATGCAACAACCAGACAGCACGGGAAAGGGCAGCAGCGGCAACGGACTCACGGTCAACAGACGTAGGTTCAGCGGGTAGAGCAGTAGGGGGGTCAGGGCAGGGGAGCGTACCGTCGATGTGGACGGCCAGGGAGTGGCCGTCCTGCCGCTGACCAGTGAGGTGACGCCGGAGGTCGACGAGCCACGTGTCGAACTCAAAGCAGGGCTCAAATTTGAAGAGTGTTTCACCCTTGTTGGGCTGAGAAAAGCCCTTAGGATCTTTCCAAAGACTAAGTCCCAGTTGAAGAATGGGACTTGAGTAGTGCAGCGGAAGTTGAGTAGTTGAATCCTTGTACTAGTATATGAGAACAAGTGATTGATTAAAAGAAACAAGCATACAACAATATATAGAAAATAAGAAAGTAAAGCAGTTGTAGAATACAGTTGCAAGAGCGGTTATCGAGTCGCACAGCGACTCGATTGACGCTTCGGTTACCATCCGCGCAGTTGTAACGGTCAGTCGCAACCTCCAGTTGCGACCCTTCGAGTCCCTTCGCGTTCTTTGTCCAACCCCTTGTGTAACCTCCGTTGACTCGCGTACCCGTTACGATCTTCCTCGAGTGTAGTGTTACACTTCAGAAACGCTTAAGTCCTTTGAGATATTTCCAACACTCCCCTTCGTTTCTGGAGTGCTGACGTGTTCAGATCCGGTAACGTTTGTCTGCTCGGTCAGCAGCGTGCAGTAATCGAACTTTGCCTTCGCCAATTTCTTCGTCAGATAATCTGCGGCCATTTCTGTCGTAGGGCAGTAACTAAGTTGAAGTCTCCCCTTCGCGATTTCATCCTTGACAAAGAAGTACCGCAGGGCGATGTGCTTGGTTCGGTTGGCGAAGCCGTCCTTGTTCACGATTTTGATTGCAGATTGGTTGTCGCAGAGGAGTGAGAAGACCGGCAGGGTTGCAATCTTTGCTTCCTCGAGTAACTCTCGCAGGTAAAGTCCTT